CTGAGCAAAGAGCAGCATTTGAATAGTCAAAATGCTGTAGAAATGAGAATTTCAGCAGGAATATTAGCTTACGCAAATCTAAGTGGCGGAATAGATATACAAAGAGGCTAGATCAGAAGTTTCCAAACTTTCTCAATTCATGGTGCTTTGTGTCTCCATATTTTCTCACAGTGCCTTCTAGACCAACTGAAACATACCACAGTAGGTAGGGTCAAACAACTTAAATAAATATTTCTGTTTAACAACTTAGTAATTATTCAAAAAGTAATGCACATAAATTCAGGCAACATAATAATTTTTTTCCTTCATAAATAACCACAATTGCTTACTAATGGGATCCATTTGCCTGGTAGGCTTTTATCACAACAGCCACTGAAAGCTTTGCTTAACAAAGGTATGACATGGCTGACAATGAAAGCAAACAGAAACAGCTCAAAATGATGAGAACATTCTTAGAAGGCATGCAGACAGCACTATCAAATGTTAAAATTGTAAACTGTCTTGAGCTCGTTGTTTGCGTGGCGTCTAACAGACAGGTAGTGCCGCTGCTTGCCTTCAAACATTGGCCGTATCCCTCAGCCTCTGTGAGTTCGAGGCAGGGCCCTGGGGCACCTCTGCACGCAGCTGGTGGCCCAGGGGCTCCATAGATCAGAGAGAGCATTTAAACTACTCAGAAAGTTGAAGGATATTCTAGACCCCAGACTACTGGAGCTCTTTCATTAAGGAAGTACAAAAACAGAAGTAATAGGAGATAAAACTTTCCTCAGCAAAAAAGACTGAAGTCAGAGGATTAAGCCCAAGTGCTTGATGGAGGCCTGGTGAGTGTGATGTGACACAAGGAGTAGAAAGTTGGACAGGAAGCACTTCAAGAGAGTGGGATTGAGGTGATGATCTGATAGAAATAACAAAGTGAAAAGAATATTGTATCGCACCCATGGTTTCCAATTTAAAAGAGAGAAGCAAAGCAATTGGCTTGATCAAATCATAGAAGTTGGGAAAATAATCAGGTTTGTTTCCTAGGAAGATCCAGATAAAGAGATTAAGTCCGGGTGCGTTGAGTGCCGGAGACATTATTGAACCATCGCTCAACCAGGACTGTTCAAGGGGGAATTCTATCTGTCCACAAATTCATATGTTGAAGTCCTATTCCCCAGAACCTAAGAACGTGACTGAAGTTGGAGAAAGGTTCTTTAAGGAGGTAATTAGGTTAAAATGAGGAAACTAGGAAGCACTTTAATTCAACATTACTGGTGTCCTTATAAGAGGAAGAAATAGACACAGACAAATACAGAGGAAGACCATGTGAGGACGCAAGTCCAAGACAGCCACCTGTGTGCCAACGTGAGAGTCCTCAGAAGAAGCCTACCCTGCCGATGCCTTGATCTCAGGCTTCTGCCCAGCCTCCCGCACTTGTTATGGAGGAACCCGCAAACTAATGTAGGACACAGCAGAAGGGGAAGACGGAGATTGAGGAGCCAGGGATAAATACAGCTCAGTCGACCGGAGGAGTGGAAACGCCGATGAGAAGGGATAACTAAAAGGGAGTGAGAGCCTTGGGGACATCAGTGCAATGACTATAGAGTAAGGAAGAGAAATGCATCTATTCAGGAGACAGAGGTAGGCTGAGGGTGGGGAAGGCGTCGGGATACTTTAGTGCAATAGAAAATAAAGAGGTCAAGAATCTTAAAAACTATTACATGTCACATAAAGATTAAGAATAAAACTGAACAAAAAGCCCATTAGTGGTTGCTAGATGGAATTGATAAATGGCCTTTCAAATGAGCATTTTAATGGAGTACTAGGGGTGAAAAACAGGTTGAGTAGGTAAAATAAGAAAAGATGAGTGGGTAGGAATGAAGAAAATGAGTGTAATACCACATATCACAGTTTGACAGTGAAACTAATACATAATCACAGACAATGTATGTTGTCTGCAGGCGGGGGGGGGGGGG